AGACAAGGGAAAACCTTTGTTTCCAAAAAAGGCCAATTCGGTGAAGTTGCGTTTGATTCTTAAGACTGCTGGAGAAGTCTTTGTATTGCTTATCTGGAATGTGCTGTTATAAACCTAGCTGGGATTTTGCAGCAATTTCTTAGGAGAGAGGGAGAGAGAGAGAGAGAAAGGGAGAGAGGGAGAGAGGGAGAGAGAGAGGGAGAGAGAGAGAGAGAGAGAGAGAGAGAGAGAGAGAGAGAGAGAGAGAGAGAGAGAGAGAGAGAGATCTTTTAAGGATTTTACAAATATGCAAAAACGCATTGGTAAATACCTATCCATTTTCAAAGCGGACTAGAGGATAAAGTCTAAACAAGGGGTCATTCCTTCAGGACTGTCATATCTGGAATTTTAAATTATCAAAATGCTTACAATTTGGAGTCCAAATTAAAATTCCCTTTTCCTCCTGTATTTAAAATTTTATTTCAATATTTTAATAGTTTTTTGAAAGCATTATTTTCTTTTCCCAAATATGCAGTATGTGAGATTCTACAAGGAATCCTAGAAAAAGTAGATGTTGCCTCTCTACATGTATGTAAATTTTGCTTATTAGAATCACTAGTCTTTGTTGAGAATGGGATCCCCCCCCCCCAAAAAAAAACTATGTCAGAAAAAGGCAGCCATGAAAAAAACAAAAAACACCCAAACGGTGAGTGGCTGTCTGCACTAGGAGCTATTCCTACAACCTCAGATGGGCCTTTCGTTTCAAGGCAAGGGGTCATTTATTGTGGGCAAAACTAAGAATATTGCAATTTAAGGAGTGTGTGAAAAGGCCTCAACACTCCCCCCACAATGTGGAAAGAGCTAGCTTGGTGATTAGATTTAGAATAATTTTAAAGCTTGTTTAAGAATAGATTGCACATGACCGGTTCAAAAAAGACACATTAAATATCCCTGGAACTGTTGACATTCTTAAAAAAAAAAAAAAAAGCCAACAGAAAGAGAACGTCATTGTTTTGGGAAATTTTTTAGTTATGCCCAAATTCGTGAATTAGAGAAAACACAAAAATTTTGTTAATGCTGAATATGAAAAAATAGCATTCTTTTTTTTTTTTCCTTCTGCGGAGCATCAACCCAACCCCACAGCCTGCTGGATAATTCAGAAGCCAGAAAGTATTGAGAATGGCCTCCAGATATAAATTGTTTACTAGCTATCTCAAGCTAAGGACCTCATTATTTTTCCTGTAAAAGAGCACAACTTGTTTTTCTTAATTTATTTCTCCTTGTTTGGAAGGGCCTACTCAAGAAGAGGAATCGGCTTCTAGTGAACTGCAAAGTAATTCTCCGCTAACGGGCTTGCATGTTCCACGGGCCTGATGTTTATCTCAGGCTCCGTGGAGGGACCCAGTGTTATCATCAGGTAGAAATGGGCAGTTTTTACTCCTGAATAAAACTTAGGCTCTGGCTGCCGCTGCAGAGGCGGCGGAACCGCAGCGGCACAAACCTGGTGGAGGCAAGCAGGCACCGGGGGTTTTAGGTCAAAGGCATCCTGAGCAAGAGAAAGAAATTCAGGAAGGAAGGGTGAAAGGTAAGAAGGCAGACGGGCAAGAGGGAGAGACAGTGGACAGAAGCCGACCCATGCGGTAGTTGAATCGCTTTTCTTAATCTCTCTGGAATGGGAAACCTCCGGAAACCAAAGCGATCGATAAACGAAAGGAATATTTTATTGAGGAGGCTAACACCTAGAGAAGCCCAGGAGGCTTGGGGCTGGTCAGGAATACTGGGTGCTCCCAGTATTCAAATGGCTGAGGAGGCACAAAGTGCCATTTAACTTGAGTTTCTGCTGCGTTGATTCTCTAGCTCGACGAACCAGCCACAGCAGGCCAGTCCGCGAAGGGAGCGAAGGGAACCAAGGGAGCGCAGCGCGGGCTCTTCTTTCCCAGCTCAACAGTCCCAGTGCGGGTGGGACCCAAGGTCCTAGGCAAGAGAGGATCTTCCATACAAGCCTACACACTTTTCCCTCCCTTTAATCTAGAAAGTTCAAACTCAATATCCGATTGCAGGGGGTTGGGGGAGTCACGCTGGAAGAACTCATACCAACCACCGCAAAGGTCCATGAAGACCCAAGTGTCAACCCCAGGGGCTGTGATGCTGGTGGCAGGCCTTCCCGCTCCTTCACTCTTTAGCAGGGGTGGCCTTTTGTAGCAGATGCAGTATGCTAAGCTAACTTTTGTAACCTTTGTTGGCACTGCAGGCTCCTGGATCCTATCCAGCATAGAAACCCATTTGGCGGTCCTACAGGGCCCTGGCCAAAACTAGCCTGAGGGCTGCCTGCAGCAGGGCATCAGGGTGTCTTACCAGCCAAATTGGCAGGGTCTCTGGAGGCCCAGGAAAGTCCTAGATGCTCTGGAGAGCTACAGGAAAAGGCTTTGAGGGGTCTGTGAATTCCTTGAAAATGATGGTTGGATTGTGGGACTGCATAGATAGGCATTTTTCAGTGTAAATCAGATTTGCCTTTTATTTTTCAGGGGGGGGTTCCTGACACTCTAAAAGGTTAAGAAAGACAGGTTTACATCAATGTCTCACTTTATTTTTGTAGCTTCCACCATCTCAAACATACTCTCCAATGGCAACGGCCCTTTCCAAATTTGAGCCTGGAAAGTTGCTTTTTACATTGGATCCGGACAGGCAGGACGCTGGGCCCTAATCCCGGGCATGCTGGCCTGCTGGGGCTCATTCTCCTCAAAGAGCCTTTCTCACTCTTGCCACCTATACTTGCCACATGACCTTTCCAGAGAGGCACAGGCAGTGCTGAGGAGCAAAGTATCTTTTTTGGGTAGTCCCCAGTTTTGTAGCATACCCAGGTGGCACTGCTAAACACAATTCCAGTGAGTTTTACCCTCTTATTGAGCAGAGCAGGGACCAGGCAGATCCCGAAAGCCCAACGTAGGGCCCTAGGCTGCAGCGCTGTGAGCTCTTCAGTGCTCAGATTTGCTGGCTACTTAGGCATAGGGGGATGAAAATTTGTCTTGGCCTGGGGTGCAGGAACAACTCAGAAGAGTGGAGAGTTAGGGATGTGTCAGCACAGTCTTSATTCTGATTGTGCTAAGCAGCTGCTACAGTTTGAGGACTGAAGCTGGAAAAAAACTGGCTCCCTCAAGCTCTCCTCCTCTCTCCTTTTTCTTTGTCCGTCTCTCCTCCATTCCTCTTTATTTTTCTCTCCACTATCGCCTTGTTTTGTATTCTGATACCTAGTATGTGTACAGCCGGTCATCACAGGGATGGAGGTAGAAGTGACTGGAACACTGTATGACCATAGCAGTGGCATTGCCTCTTGGGCACCAATTATAAAGCAGCCACAATGGCAGCTGTTGGATTCTTAGAAACCAGAGCCTGGGCTGTACCTAGCTAGCTCTCTCCTGCACTCTCGGGATTCTCTCAGGATGCTGTCTCCTCCGGTTGAGTTCATCCTGGAAGGAAGCATAACAGACCACCCGAATGCAAGAGTCTTTCCCTGCCACTGGCAGAGAGGTCTGATTGCTCTACTTCCTGGGATCCCCAGGGTCAGTAACTCCAGCTTTAATTGAAGCTGGATGAGTAGCCAGCCTGGGTCATTCTGGAGACCTGTAGCCCACAGGTCAGGGGCAAGGCAGAGAACTCCCGGGTTCCACTGGATCCGGCCGGAAAAGGTCACATTTCCTGAGCCTGGTATGGAGGCCCACACTTGGGGGCTAGTGCCCCAGGCTGGCCATTTCCAATTGGCTAAGAAAGCACCCCTGAGTAGGATCCAGTCAATGTTTGTTGAGCAAAGGGTCTGGCTTGGAACTCTCCTATAAAAGGGTCACAAGCCCAGCTCAGTCGCTGAGGTAATAGATTTCTTCACCCTGGGCCTTGTTAAAATGTGCACACCTTAGGAGGAAGAACTGCCCCAGCCATAGGTTTGGAGAGGATGGAGTAAGAGAGGTGGGGAGAGGCAGAAGCTTAGTGATATCAATTTTTGTTATAGCCTCCAGGAACATAGGAATGCCATGGCCCAAAGGAGAGAGAACAGTGGCAGAGGTGTCTGCTGGGCACCTTCCTCCAAGTTTCCCCTTCCAGGTCTCCCCATCCTAGAAGAACAAAAACCCTAGGGCCAAGCTTTCAATTATCTTAAAGGACCTGAGTATGGGATTTCCTCGGGGTGTTGGTGAGGGTGTCTGGACCTGGCTCTGGCCTCCTGTCTGGTGGGGAAAGTCTTCCGGCCAAGGATGCCAGTCACTTCCCATGCTCACTTACACCAGACCTCCAAGGTTCCCCAACAGGAGATGTATAAGGCAAGCCAGGTGAGCACTGAAGAGGAGTAAATCCTGTGGATGAATCCACAGGGTAGGACAGTGTTGGAGGCTAAAGGATCAGGGATCAGCTATTGCATTTGGGGGAGTATTTGGTGTGAGATGTCAGAAGTATGGCAATAGCTAACTTCCAGTTTACTCCAGACACTGTGAGGATCCCAGTGGTTTTGGGACCAGGTTTGCTACTTTTGGAAACCAGATTCCAGAGATGGGGCCACCTCCAGGTCCAGAGCTGAATAGGAAGAACTTGAGTCCCCGACGGGGTTCCTATATGTAGTCACAGGGCACCTGGGCCTAGTGGCCACTTCTGCAACAGGGATGGGAGCACCCAAGGCAGGCTGGGGGTGCGCACCGTAAACACCCCACTTGTTAACTGCGCAGGGCCCAAGAACACTTCCAACAGACCCCGGCTTAGGGCTCACATCAGAATAGGGGCGGGGCGATCCTAGGGCCAGGCCCCCCACCAGCCACTTTAGGGCAACCCCCACAGCTCACAGCCTTCGGGCCAAGGTGTCAGGCCTGCATCTCCTGGCCCATCAATACAGATTACATATTTATATCAATCGCGGGCTCTGAGGGCGCCCTCGGAGAGCGGCCCTGCGCCTACGAAATCAAACTGGGAGTGGTCGCGCGGAAACTCTGGCTCGGGATTGGCTGCGGACGCCCGCCGCGGTGCGGGGGGATTGCTAATCGTATTCAGCATGTTTTGCACAAGAAATGTCAGCCAGAAAGGGCTATCTGCTCCCTTCGCCAAATTATCCCACAACAATGTCATGCTCGGAGAGCCCCGCCGCGAACTCTTTTTTGGTGGACTCGCTCATCAGCTCGGGCAGAGGCGAAGCGGGAGGTGGTGGAGGTGGCGCTGGGGGCGGCGGCGGCAGTGGTTACTACGCCCACGGCGGGGTCTACCTGCCGCCTGCCACCGACTTGCCCTACGGGCTGCAGAGCTGCGGGCTCTTCCCCGCACTGGGCGGCAAGCGCAATGAGCCGGCTTCGCCAGGCGGTGGTGGCGGTAGCGGGGCCCTGGGCCCCGGAGCGCACGGCTATGCGCCGGCGCCCATAGACCTGTGGCTAGATGCACCCCGGTCCTGCCGGATGGAGCCGCCTGAGGGGCCGCCGTCGCAACAGCAGCAGCAGCCACCTCAGCAGCAGCCGCCGCCCCCGCCACAACCACCCCAGGCCCCACCACAGGCCACCTCGTGCTCTTTCGCCCAGAACATCAAAGAAGAGAGCTCCTACTGCCTCTACGACTCGGCGGACAAATGCCCCAAAAGCTCAGCGGCCACCACCGATCTGGCCCCCTTCCCGCGGGGCCCGCCGCCCGACGGCTGCGCCCTAGGAGCCTCCAGTGGAGTGCCAGTGCCCGGCTACTTCCGCCTCTCTCAGGCCTACGGCACGGCCAAGGGCTACGGCAGCGGCGGCAGCGGCGGTGGCGTGCAGCAGCTCGGCGCCAGTCCATTCCCGGCGCAGCCCCCGGGGCGCGGTTTCGACCCGCCACCGGCACTCGCCTCTGGTTCGGCCGATGCCGCCCGGAAGGAGCGAGCCCTCGATTCTCCGCCGCCCCCAACGCTGGTTTGCGGCGGCGGCGGTGGGGGCTCTCAGGGCGACGAGGAGGCGCACGCGTCATCCTCCGCCGCGGAGGAGCTCTCCCCGGCCCCTTCCGAGAGCAGCAAAGCCTCGCCCGAGAAGGACTCCCTGGGTAAGCAGGGCGCGCCAGAGGGCTGCAGTCAGGAGGGTAGACAGGCAGACCCAAGAAAAGGAAGGAGCAGAGAACCAGGAGTCCGCGCAGCAGCCGGCCAGCCTTGGCCCAAGCTGCAAGCAGGCTGACCTTGTGAACTCGCTTTTTAATATTTGGGCGTGGGGATGCAGTAAAAATTCATGTCCAGCTTAGAGGCCCACACCAAGACATTCTCAGCGCTGGCCCCGGCTCACCCTGACTGGAGGCGACGACACCAGCGAGCAGCCCCCCTCCTGTGCATGATCTTCCCTGTGGCCCGGAGCACCCCAACCCCTGGTCCGGGCCCAGCCTGCACGGCGCGGCCCACGCGGGGGGAGGAGGAGGGAGGGAAAGTGGCTCGCCCGCAGATAGTGCGGATGTTTGTAAGGCATCCAAAATAAGCAGCCGCCAGCGCCAATAAATAAGCCCATTAACCGGCGAAGTTCGAGTTTACGATCCCCCATGCCTTTTTCAAAGTTGCAGGAGGGGCGGGAATCCCTGTTGCCAGAGAAGAAAAGACAAATCCGGCCTGGACGCCGGGGCCCAGAGCAGAAAACTAGAGAGGGGCTATTTCATTTCCCCTGGAACTCGGAATCGCCCAGCTGCATACCCCTGGCTCTTGCAGAGATGCAAGGGAGGGCCCTTGACCCCAGAATCAGTTTTTCTTGCCTTCCCCATTGGCCCAACGATGCCCTTCTCCTCTTCATCATGAGCAATCAGGGGGGGCTGTAGTAAAACAATCCGCTGCCGGTCCCCCATCAAAGAAAGCAGTCCTTTCCCCCAACCTGGAGGCTTCAGGAAATTCTTGTCTGCCATAGAGGAGATGAAAAGAATGGCGTTAAGTTCAAGATGTGCAGCCTGCCCTCCCAGGCCTTTCATTCTACAAGTACCCTGGCAGCTTTGTGCTGAAACAGGTGTTTGGGGGAAAAGTGGAAGAAAATGTAAATTTGAGGGGTGGGTGTAGATTGAAGGCCCATTCAATTTGCCATGACTTTTGGAGGAACTGCTTGTTCTCCGCAAGCCAAACAGGGGCATAACCCTTCTCTCTGTGACTTGGGGCATCCCTCTTATGGGAAAGACGTCTGGAATTCACCCCCGCGTGCAGCCCGCGTGGCCTCGACTTAACCTTCCCCTCTGTATTCTCTTAAACGCCAGGCAATTCCAAAGGCGAAAACGCAGCCAACTGGCTCACTGCAAAGAGCGGCCGGAAGAAGCGCTGCCCGTACACCAAGCACCAGACGCTGGAGCTGGAGAAAGAGTTTCTGTTCAACATGTACCTTACTCGAGAGCGGCGCCTAGAGATCAGCCGCAGCGTCCACCTCACGGACAGACAAGTGAAAATCTGGTTTCAGAACCGCAGGATGAAACTGAAGAAAATGAACCGAGAAAATCGGATCCGGGAGCTCACAGCCAACTTTAATTTTTCCTGATGAAGCTCCAGGCGATGCCGGTTTTTTTTCCCCCCGCTGCCAGAGCGCCCGTCCCCTCCCTCTGTCTTCAGCCTCTTCCCCAGAACTCGCACCTGTGTTGGAGCCCCATTCTACCCTTCCACACTCGCCATCTCCCGGGCCGTTACATCTGTGCAGGGCTGGTTTGTTCTGACTTTTTGTTTCTTTGTTTGCTTGGTGCTGGTTTACTTGTTTTCAGGGGGAAAAAGCCATATCGCGCTAAATTCTATTGAAATAGATATTGTCCTAAGTGTCAAATCCTGACTGGGCTTGGTTTGCTGTCTAGGGGTCTCAATGCTTGAAATAACCCCTATCCTCCTCCTTCCATCCTTAGAGCTATTTTCCTGCCCACCTCAGACAACCTAGCCAGAAGACCCAGGTCCCACTGTCGGTCCTAAGGTGCCTGGCCTGAGGTCAATGGTGCAAGGAGCCGCCACTGGGTCCGCTTGCCTGGAGGGCTGGGCTGTGTTTAATCAGGGGATTCAGGCCCCTGGGTTTCTTTTTTCTTCTTCCTTTCTTCCTTGGCCAAGAGAAGGGCATACAGGCATAGACATGCAGGTTGGCAATAGAGCTTGGCTTTGGCTGATTGAAAAAGCAGAAAGAGAATTATTATTTTTTTCCTTCCTCTGTAAGATATCCCAGCTTTAAAAGAAAAAAAAAGTGACCAAGAGAAGGAAACTTCTCTTCTAGATTGTGTAAGGTCTTGCATTGCCTGAYTAAAATGTTTCATTTACCTCTGAATTTCCATTTTCTTCTGGCTGTTGAGAATAATGTAGTTTTGTTTATACATGTGGAATTAGTGGATTTTTTGTCATTAAAATCGTTACCACTGGTAACACCCGAAAAGCACACCACAATTCTCCCTGTCTTGTGGAGGTTTATTATTATTATTATTATTTTACATTTTTTTACATATTTTTGTGTGTGGATGGCTTTCTGAAATTCACGGAAGCCTAGGAGGGCTGAGGCAAGCAGAATAAACTAGAGAAGGGAGACATTGTTTGGATTTCCTTTATACTGTGAAGTTACATGCATAAAAGGGTCAAACCTGTAGGTGCAGAAAAAAGAAAAAAACTATAAATACAAATCTGTATAAATGTCTATTATTATGAAAAATTGCCAATCATGTTTTAAGCAAATGCATTCTATCATTATTATAAATGTTAGTTCTAGCTCTATTTACTTCTAATCTTAAATCAGAATAAATTAATATTGTATTGCTGCTGTGCGTGGAAAAAAGACGATGTTTATGTTCTTATAGAATAAAAGCTGTGGAATGAAGCTTTTTAATTTTACCTCTTTTTTTTTTTTTTTTTTTTTTTTTTACTTCTTATCTTCACCTTCCACTTTATTCCATCCACCACTTTTACAACAGGAGTACTAGCCTGAGCCCCCTGCAATTACTTTAGGCATCTATTTAAATATTACCTAGACGGTCGTAATTTGTCTGGGCCCTATAGCCCTGGTGCCTTAAGGTTTGTCGGCTTTTGTTCAGTTTTATGACTTGCTAGTATATCTGGATTGTGGCTGTCTTGGACCAGTGGTTTCAGTTGAGAGGGGAGCTGCATAGGCAGAGGAAGCTAAACAGGATTTCTTTCGGGAGCCCCAGAGAGGCTCGCSGAGGCCAGTTATTTTGCGGGTGCCCAGGTCCCAGATGACCCGGGGAGCAGGCCTGGTCCGCTGCGCATCTTAGTGATGCGACCGCGGTTAAATGGACCCAGGTCTGGCCGCCCCCTCCCCCAGCACAGCCTCCCCCACCTGGATGCCCTCCGCTGGGCCACGCGTTTCCTGCTCGCCGGAGGTGGGGGGGGCGACGTTAAGGGGGAGGGGGCGCGGGAGCGCGCGTCTCGGCGGGCGGGCGGCTAGGGGAGAGAGAGAGGGGGAGAGCGAGCGGCCGAGGGGAGCGAGCGCGGAGGCCTCTGCCAAAGAACCCGGCTCTGTGCTGTCCTCTGGCGCTTTGAATCGCCCACGGCTGCCGCCGCTCAGCGGCGGTTCTCGAAGCTGCAAGATTTGGGAAACCAGCACGCSCTCTACTCTTTCCCAGCTCTCTTCTCGCCTTCTTCCCTCCTTCCTTTTTCCTTTCTCCTTTGCTTTCCCTCGCTCCCTCCCSCTGTCCTTCCCTCCCCCAAGCTTACCTTTTTGGGGGACCGGTGGCTTCTCCCTCCGTGACSGGTTTGTGGCAGCCCGAGGCATTCGGTGGCAGCGGTGGGCGCAGGTTGCCAAGGGGCTGGTCCAGGCATGATCTCAGGGTTCTCTCCTTGGCGGCGGCGGTGGCGGCAGCGGCAGTGGCAGCGGCGGCGGCGGGCGAGGGAGCCCCGCGCGGGCAGCACCAGAACTGGTCGGTGATTTAGGTAGTTTCCTGTTGTTGGGATCCACCTTTCTCTCGACAGCACGACACTGCCTTCATTACTTCAGTTGAAATCGTCTCCAGGTACCTGTACGCGCGGGGGCCGGGCCGGGCGGGGCATCAAGGCCCGGGTAGTGCCAGGCCTGCGGTGGCAACCTCGGCATTCTCAGCGCAGGAGCCTCTCTTCTTCCTTAGCGCTGTGCCAGCCAGCAGGCCTCACCACTCCCCTAACAACACCTGGCCTAGAGCAGGTACCATCAGGTTAGTTGCTCCTTCGCGGATGCCGGGGGGCGTGGTAAGAATTCTGGGCCCCGGGCCATTCAAGGTCAGGGGCGCTAGCTTCAATCCTGAGCTGCTCCTACTACAGGCCCGCGCCTGGCCTGGGACCCCCGCCATTCCCTAGCAAGGCTTGGATACACACACACACTCCAATCTGGGATGTGAGCTCCGGAAAGATCCCTTTGCCAGTGGGAGAGCCAGAGAGCCAGGCCGAGATAGGAGGGATAAGGGTGGACAAGGGCTGGTATCCTAGCCTTGTCACTTAACCCTTCCCTCTGAAAATGCTCCCTCTGCTCCCAGGAGCCACCTCTGTCTTTTTTCTTCCTTCTTCCTTTGCTCCTTCTTCTTTTATCCTTTTATTTTCTTTGCTCTTTTCCCCCTCTTCCCTTCTCTTTATTTTTTCTTTCATCTTCTGTTTCTTTATCTGATTCTCAGTCTTGCTGCCTACTCGCCTTTTAAAATCCTGGAGAAGAAAAGGGCTGGTTTGAGAGAAAGCCAGCGGTCTTATTTTTCTCTGGGCGCTTAAGTAAAGGTCGGAGTCTGAAGAGGAAGGGTTTGCGTGGGACCGCTGTCGAGGACGTGGGTTTGGCCTGATGTGCCTCTGTGCAGACAAGGCCTCGGTTACGATCACGACCGGCTGGCGGCGGCCTTGCGTTCCTTCTCCCTGTCGCTAACTGGCTGTCTGGGAGACCAGATTAGGGGGCACCCGYGGTGTCTTTGTGTGCCCACATCCAGGGCAAGGAGGCCTTCACCACCCTCACCCGGAACACGGGCTGAGGCCCAGCCAGACGTAGTGGAGCCAGACCACTCGGCTCCATCAGCTCCATCGGGAAGTTCCTTGCTGGCTCTGCCGGGCCTGCAGGTCCCATCTCACTCAGGCTTTGACTGTGATGGGGGAGCCTCCTTAGGGCAGAGCTTGACTGTTTGCTTGCCAGGGGCAGGCACCAGGTTCAGAATATGTTCGGTCTGGCCGCTTTGTACAACTGGGTGCTGGMGAAGAGGGTTCTTTGCAGCGCCAGTAGGTTCAAATAGGTGAAAGGAATCCTAAATTCCAGAGTCATCGAGATACAAACTTAAATCCTTGTCTTAAGCTAGAGGCTATGGATGAAAACCAGCTTTGACCATTCTCCCCACCSAAAACTGAAAATAATCCATCCCCCTTTCCTCCAAAACACTCACATAGCCTCCAGACTCAGAAGCTGTACTTCCCTTCCCAGCTCAGCTGAGGCCCAGGGATTGTTTTCATTGCTCGGTCGGCCAACCTGTTATCTAAAAGACCGGCACACCCGGTTCCCTTCAACTTCTCTCTGCTATTTTCCGGACCAGTGTTTTGGATTTATTTCAGAGGTTTATTTCAAGGTTTTTGGAAAATTCTCAGCCAGGAAGGGGCAGTTTGTAATTACACCCATTTATTATTTCTTTATGGACATGCAATCCCTTTAATAAAAGCAGAAGCAAAAGTATGAATATTCTGTTTCCAAACCTCTGGGCTCAAGAGGGCCAATATTTGGTTTTGTGAMCCCCCCCCCTTTTAGGCACCAGTATCAGCTGCTTAACACTCAATGCTTGGTGATTATTTAGTAATTCGCCTATTGTGGGATAAGGTTATTTAAAGCAACAGCTTTGTATTTATTTTAAAAATACTAACAATATATCCGTGTCTTCTCTGGGTACCAATGGAAAGGACAACCAAGCATGCTCTTCCATTTACAAACAATTACAAAAAGGAGGGAAGTTTTCCTCCAGAGTTAAAATTTTAAATGGAAAATCTGAGTCCCTGTGGACTGTGGGACATTTAGGACACCTTGGGCTGTGATAGGGGTGGGGATGACGCGGAGGAATTTACACGGAAAGGAAAATATTAGGGGGGAGGGGGTTGTGGCGGCCAGGACAGGCCACGTCGGAGTTCATTGTGTAGGCCACCTTTCTCAGCGCGGCGTGGAGCAGAGGAAGGGGCACACGTTTGGGATCTGCGTGGCTTCCCAGCGTCCCTCCCCAGTACAGACTAACAATTGAGGGTCTCAGCCTTTAAGGATAGGGATATGTTTTCATGATGTGTTTTTTTTTTTTTTGGGGGGGGGGATACTCGAACTTTTGGTGAGAATGAAAGCCAAAAGTTAGAAATAAATGCCTGAGGTCGCCAGCCTTGCTGCCAGTGAAGTGGACTAATGAGAAACACACTTCCAAGCATAGTGTTCACACGTGAATTTAATTACCCCATTTTAGGAGTCGCTACTTTCTGTTTGGAATTGTRATGGGTTTTCCTTTTACCTTTTCTTCCAAAAAAAAACAATAGAGGCTGCGGCCTTTTCATTTGCTTTCACCCCCCCCAAAGACTCCAAGGGGTGAGAAATAATCTCCCCAATTTGATCAGGTCAAAGGATGAGATTAAAGTCAATGCCCTGTGCCCGATGCCCCGTTTTAATTTCTAGTCCTGGACTTGAGCTGCGGCCGCCTTGCTTTGGGCCTTGTAACTCTGTAAAGTTACTCGGTTCGGTCGGTAACCGAGGTTGGGCACCGGGTGATGGCCAGAAGGGAGGGAAGAAAGGATCCCTGAAGGGCATTCATACTGGGTACAGGACCTTTTATTCCAGTGCGGGCTTCCCAGTCACTGGAGCCTTGGAATGTCTTAGGCGGGACTGCCTTTTAGCAAGCCGAACTCCCCTTCTATTGATGCTATCTGGCGATTTTTAACCATCTTTCAGACCTCAGCTTAGGGCCTTGGCGAATAGAGCATAGGACCAGGTCGCTAGCCGCCTCCAACCAGATGAAGAGGTGCAAAATGCGCTGGGCRAAGGAGTGTGCAGCGGGGTCCTGGGTCAGGGGCCTAGCGCTGCACAACCAGACTCTCAAAAGCTTCACCTTGTGGCAGTTGGCCGCTCCCTCACTGCCAGCTCCTGGATGAAACAAATACGAACTTGGGGGCTATCCGGGTGCTAGGCTTTCTTTTACCGCAGCCTGGGGTGTGGGTGGCAGACCAGATGGTTCCCCCCTAGCTAGTCAGTCCCTGCTGGGCGCGCTCTGGCAGGGGCCAGTGACTACTCTACTTGGGACCCATACTGCGTTGGATTTGACTTTTCGCGTCCGGCCAGGGGAAGACTCCCGAGGACCGCAGGGATTATTTACAGGGAGCTCGCCAACCAAACACAACAGTCTAATTTAACCTTTCCAAGTCCTCGTAAATTTTTACAGCTGGGAGCCACGGCGAGGCAAACGAATCTGTTGGTCGTTCCCAATTTCCCAACCAGTCTGTGTGGCTTCTGAAACAATAACTCCTTATGAAATATCATAAATATAGATTTAAATACAGTAGAGCGAGAATGCGATTTGGCTGCTTTTTTATGGCTTCAATTATTGTCTAATTTTATGTGAGGGGTTCCTCTGGCCGCAGTCGCATGCGGGACCCGCGCCTTCCTGATGGCGTGATTAATTGTGATATAAAATAGTCCGCTTAAGAAGTGTGTATGTTGGGAGGGGGCAGGGGAGAGAACAGAGGCAAGGCCAGATTTGATCTTTTAATCTTCGTTGGCCACAATTAAAACAAACCCGATCGTGGAGCGGCGTGATCCCTTTGCATAAAAACATATGGCTTTTGCTATAAAAATTATGACTGCAAAACACCGAGCCATTAATAGCGTGCGGAGTGATTTACGCGTTATTGTTCTGCCGGGTGGACACGTGACGCGCGCGGCCAATGGGGGCGCGGGCGCCGGCAACTTATTAGGTGACTGTACTTCCCCCCTGGTGCCACCAAGTTGTTACATGAAATCTGCAGTTTCATAATTTCCGCGGGTCGGGCCGGGCCGACCAGGCGCGGGACACGGCAATGGCCACCACCGGGGCTCTGGGCAACTACTATGTGGACTCGTTCCTGTTGGGCACTGACGCGGCCGACGAGCTGAGTGCTGGCCGCTACGCGCCAGGGGCCCTGGGCCAGCCCCCACGGCAGGCGGCGGCACTGGCCGAGCACCCAGACTTCAGCCCGTGCAGCTTCCAGTCCAAGGCGGCGGTTTTCGGCGCCTCGTGGAACCCGGTGCACGCGGCGGGCGCCAACGCCGTGCCTGCTGCAGTGTATCACCACCACCATCACCACCACCCCTACGTGCACACCCAGGCGCCCGTGGCAGCGGCGGCGCCGGACGGCAGGTACATGCGCTCCTGGCTGGAGCCCACGCCCGGTGCGCTCTCCTTCGCGGGCTTGCCCTCCAGTCGGCCTTATGGCATTAAACCTGAACCGCTGTCGGCCAGAAGGGGTGACTGTCCCACGCTTGACACTCACACTTTGTCCCTGACTGACTATACTTGTGGTTCTCCTCCAGTTGATAGAGAAAAACAATCCAGCGAAGGCGCCTTCTCGGAAAACAATGCTGAGAATGAGAGCGGCGGAGACAAGCCCCCCATCGATCCCAGTAAGTGTCTCCTCCAAATCAGCCGCCGCCTCCACGCCGGCCACCCGGATCTGCTGGCCCGTCAGCTTTCTTTGAGCCTGCCTTCGTCCTTGCTGGGAACCTTCCGAGCTGGGACCGGGAACCAGAAGTTGGTGTTTGGGACACCTCAGACGGGGCCCCAAGTCCACAGAACTATGGCGAGCAGGCCTGCGGGGCTGGGGAAAGGGGAGGAGGCTGTTGCAGCGAGAGGGGGCGGGGCGGGCGCTACAAGCCGAGCCAAGACCCGCCGCCCCTCTACTAGGCTGCCCAGGCCCAGGACTGAGCTACTTTGGGCCGTTCTTCGAAAGCAGCAGCGCAGCGGAGAGAGTCTTTTGTGCAGCTAGATTGTTCGCGAGCGGCGGCAGCAGCAGCAGCCGGGCAACCTGACCCCGGGACTCAGGGGGACACGGTCGATTCCATCCACTTCTTGCCTTCAGCCGGTGGCGGCGTAAATCCTGCCTAGGATGAGGCTGCGGGAGATCGGGCCGCAAGGGTCCCCTTTCCAGATTATTCAAATAAACCGGAGACATGATTAAAGGCGTTGGGGGCGCCCTGCCGGCCAGCCTAGCTTTCACGGCCTTCCAGGAAGGTCAAATAAGAAGTGGGAAGAGTGGAGGGAAATCTGGGGAAGGAAAGACAGAGTCAGAGAGTCAGAGAG